GTATAAACGCCGATCACCCTACAACCAATGAAATATAAGATGCATCAAATCTTTGAAAAGTAAAAAGGTTCTGGGATATGTTCTTCACATTAATACTCGTATACTATGAACACTATAAAAAGTATTAGAAGATGAATTCAAGCCGACTCTCTTACAATCGCAAGTAAGGTTTTAAAGCAAGAAAAGGTCTTGGAAGTGTTTTGGTTTTCATACTGTAAATACTTAAAAATTGCCTAATCAACAACAGTTCTACATTCTATTTCGTTTAAAAAATCCAGGTTCAATTAGCAGGTATATTTAATAGAGTTGTAGTCTTATTTAGTTTCCCGTGAGATATAATTGCCTTTGTACTATTGCAAGGTGTTCTCGACCTTTTTTTTGACTCTCTTGCTAATTCAGAACTTATAACAGTCTTTTGTTTGGTTTTACTTCGTTTTAGGATTTTACATCTAGGACATCTCCATAGTCTAATTAGTCCTTCCAATTCTTTTCTACTTTACATCTTTAAGAATTTTTTGGTTAATCTTCAAATTATAGTTTTGGATGGAACAAATGCAAGTGTTCCTATTGCCTCATTACTGTCATGAAGTTTTAGCCAGAAAGAGTTGTGGTTCTCTTCTGTTTGGTTATAAGTGGAATTTTCTCCAATTGTCATCTCTAGAGTAATCATATTGTAGAAGATTAGTTAAAGGCTGAGGAGGTAAAGTAGAGAGAGAAACTGCATACCATGTGCTTGAGGAGTACCCGGTATGGATGTACAAGCCGAAAAAACACCTAGGAGGGTATTTCATGGATCATAAGGAGTCAAGACTAGGAAAGATGGGCTCTATACTGTCTTTTCTTAAAGAAATCGGACTTGAAGAAACACTCTAATTCGACAGAGGGGCACCATAGATTTTTTAGGGCGCGGTGCAAGATCCTTTCTTTTAATAATAATAATAATAAAAGCTGAACAGTTTTTTCTCTAATATCAGAAAAATTTTAAAATATTTTTTAATATTCAATTATAGTTTGTTAAAGTTAATATTATATTTATTTTCCATTTAATTAAATTTTTTTGAATAATTAGTTCAGGGTTCTTTAATGTTTCTTTTTACAAATATAATAAATAAATAATCAAATAAATTAATTATGAAATGTTATTTACTAGAAATGAAAGAAATCAAATTAATTGAAATAAATCAAG